CACTGAGCACACCCTTCTACGAGTTCCAGTTCGTCAACGACGATCTCCAGATCGTGGGCAATGCCACCAACATGCGCATCGAGGGTTTGGACAGCTTCCAGGTGCTGAGTGCTAGCGACTATGGCAAGACCGGAGTGGCCGCCTACGACCTGATCTTCCCCAAGATCCAGATGCTGGGCTTCGCCGAGGTCGATGGCTTCATCAACATCGGAGGCTTCAAGATGCCCATCCGCCGGAATGACGTGATCAACGAGGCCCTCTTCGACCTGCGCTTCGTGGGCAGCTACAGCTTTGCCAGCAGCCTGACCAACTCCTCCGGACTCCGCATGGTTGACTTCCAGCAGACCGTCTACCTGGCTGGCGTGGAGCTGGACAACTGGAACTCTCTGTGGGACATCTCGACCAACAATTTCTGGAACCAGTGGACCAAGATCGTGGTGCCCTTCGCCCTCGAGCAGATCCAGCCCAAGATCAGCGACTTCCTCTACCAGAACTTCTTCGTCCCCAAGGTCAACGATATGCTGGCCAACGTGAGCATGCAGGAGATGGTGAACTTCTACGAGACCCAGGCCCAGCTCTGGGAGAACGCCAAGTGCCAGGCTTAGAGTCCTGCACTGGTTCGATTATTTAAATAAAGTATAAAGCAAGCAAAGAATCTGTTTTTTGTTACACTTTAGTTGCGAAGGATTATCTTATCACGATTTAAGAGACATATAACTTAATCTGGAGTCTGGACCAGCTTGCTGTTCTCTTTCTTAACTCAATTGTTAAATTAAACACAGGCAAACACAGCAACCTGGCACCTTAACTATGAATACATTACACATACGCCGCGTGGGCTGGCGGAAAGTGAAATTCAATACGTGTATAATTAAGCTAATGAGGCAACGCTAGATGGGGCCACGGGGCGTCAGGTGTAGAGCCCATAAATCTCAATTAAAATTCAACACATTTTGTTAGTCAAAACAGGAATAGGCGGGGACCAGTGCGGGGATCGGTCTTCGACGGCCAACTCCTTCTCCTGGCCGGGGCTTCCTTTGCCGGCGCTCTTGTAATCCGCTTAAGTAACTCAACAGGAACGGAAACCGGAAATGAAAACCATACAGTGTACAAAGCAGCAGCGAGAGAGAAAAGGTGAGGCCGCCGCAGAGCACAGAAGACAGAAGGCGACTCCGAAACGTAGATGGACTGAGTTGGCTTGGGTTTGGGTTTGGGTTATGGGTGGTTTTGGGTCAGGCAAGCTACTTCCGCTGCTTGTGCGATTGCTGCTCCTTGCTTTTTCCACAGAGCACAAACAGAAAGTTTTCAATTACACTTGAACAAATCTATATTACTTTTTAGACCCTTAAAGTAATTATTTCTAATAATGAGTAACAAATAAAGTTCTTTAATGATTATTTCTTAAAGATCATAAATTTAAGGGAGGTTTATTATTTAAACCTAATTATAATTTGATAATAATATTTTATAATATTTTATTTACTATTTTCTTGTAAATTATAAAGCCAAGTAAACATTTTCTCTTCCTGCAGCCACTTGTATACATCGAGAATGAAAGGAGTCGGGAAGGAATCACGGCTCTTAAGCTGCACCGGAAATGAAGAACTGCTGCTCGAGTTCCAGCGACAGATTCGCTGGACTCCATACCAGGTTGGCTCCCTGACTGACTGACATATAGCCAAGACAGTACAACCGCAGCGAATCCTCTCAAAAATGGCTAGGACAGCGTTCCTGGCGACCGTTTTAAGTGCTCATAATATCTGCTGGCTCTATGAGCGATTTTCCGCAAAACGGAACAGGTGAAGAAGGGTGGAAGCCAGCAAACAGCAAATGGCTTTTCCACATTGCGGTTTTCCGTTCCGTTCCGTTCGGCGAACAACTCATCTGGACGACCATCTGTCCCGACTTCCGCTCCCGGCATCTAAACCGCAGCGGTGATCCAAAGTCCGCTGTGCATTAATCAATTATTCAGGTTGTGTAAAATGCATAAATTATGATCCCCCCGGGGGGCCAGGGACCAATCCTTGGGTCAGATGGGCTACCAGAGTTTTGGCAGCTCTTCAAAATGCAGCCCCAAAAATTAAACCCGAAATTAAAACCCTTAATAAGCGAATTCTTTACGGAAAATAGGAAAGAGGAAACCACACACTCACACACCGCCAGAAGTATGAAAACAATTTTCCTTTGTTTATTCAAATTACTCTTCGCACGCAGTTGCCATTCGCTAGCGCTGATTATTTATGTATAATATTATTCCATAGAATTTCTATTGTTTTTTCTTTTTTATTATTGCATAATTATTCAGTAGCTCACATTAACATCAAACTGTTCATGCAAATACACTCGAGTGAATTGTTGTGTGTGGCATTCTTTTCAATCAACATTGTTGCAATTACTTCTTCCCCTGCTCTACCCGCTCTGCATGCCTGGACATCAAAAATATTTAATAATTCATTAATTAATTATTTTCTAAATGGTGCAACAATATTGACAATCAAATAAAAAATAAATGTATTGGTTTTTATAAATACGTAAGTATGAATTGCGAGTTCATTATTGAATAGATTGTTTTGCCGTGTGTTCGGTATTCATTTTTTGTTTTGTTTTGTTTGCATAATGCGCATATATTGTACATATATGTATATGTTGGTTTGTTTTGTATAGAATATTAATTATTTGATGGACACGTTGGAGGCAAAAGTGGGTGGTGCTATAGTGGCGTGGGATTGGGTAACGAACCCAAAAATGTATTACAATTACACAAGTATTATATTAAAGCTTTTCAGAACCTAGTATTTCACACTCCTGTTCTTTATGTTTGTTTTTTTTAGATACGCACCTCCAACGTGCCGCGGTCCAACAATGTCATCTTTATCCATTTAAATGATGCTTGCCTTTATCGGTGTGTATTTTTTATAACATTAAACAAACAACATTCAATCTTTCACGTTTGGTTTTTGGGTTTGATTAGTCATAGGTAGGTAGTTATAGATTCCATATTCCGTTCGGATCCGTGGGCTAGGGTGGCTAGATCAATCAATGTTCGTCTTCGTTTCACATACACTAGATGGTATTCACATATATATGTTATATATTTAGCGTTCCTGGTACTTAGGTACATGTAATACTCGTACGTACGTTTTAGCATTTTTAACTATTTTTTCTTCTTCTGTGTGTTATCCTAACTTGCTTCTTTTAATGCCTAATTTTGTATATTTCATACATTAAAATTAAACATTTATCAAATTGAATGCATCTTGGTACTAGACAAAAAACGTACAATAAAAAATAAAATGAATTCCTCTCATTATCCGGGTATCTCTCTTGTGTGCAGGGAATACTCCACTTTGCTATATAATTTATGCATATAAATATGTATGCTAGTTATAAAAAGGTATTTTATATAAAAACATTAAAAATTATGTTTAAATTTAGCTTGGTATTTTCTTTTTTTCAGTGACTTTCCACTAGGTTACAAAATTCAAAAATATTTTTTCCACAGTATTTCCTTTATATAAAGACTAGGTGCAGTTGGATCTCGTCATTACAAATTTGAATTTGAATTGAATTTTCTTGAAAAATAATTTTAAAATTAAAAAAAAATATACTCATATATATTCTATTTAATTTAAGAAATATTGAATAAGGTACAGTTTTCCATTAAAATCGGAAAGTAAAGTTTGTTATTTTATGTTTAAAATGAATCTTTAATTGTTACAACTTTGAATTGGAATCCCAAAATATTTTACTGCATACTTTTAGGTACAGTTTGAATTGATTTGAAATCCTTATAGATTAAAAATGAGTTATAGAATGGACAAACTCACAGAAATGTTTTCAAAAGTTAAACTTGTCTCAATTTCATAATTCCTTATCAACTGCACCGAAAAAAAATCAGTGGCAACTGTGGTTATAACCATTGTAAACTAGTGATATTGCTGATTTTTAAGGGACATGCACACACACAGATTTTTTTACGAATTAAATGCTTCAACTTACACCCAACTAGAGTATAAATCCTTTTATACAATCATATATGCATCGTATTCACATATTTTTATATAAATAATGCAACTTGCCATTCACATTTATATAAATTGTAATTGCTCTAATATATTTATATATTTCTTTTAGCATATTGTATCCATTTAACCAGTTTTGTAATGCACATTTATATAAATTAACTCGCCTCTTTCACTTGATAAAAACATTCTAACAAACCTATAATACGATCGATCGGTGTTAACGTACAAATATACATATATATTTATATACGCGTTATAAAAATGCATTTTAAAATATGTGTGTTGTGTGTAAATTTCTGTCCAATGGTCAACATTGTTTCAATGTCGCTTCGGGCGGGTTCGGAAGGGGGCACTAAAAACAAATTCGAGCTAAAGTTCGCATTTAAAAGCCTTAGATTACAATATTTATATTTGCATATTTTGTTTTTCTTGTTATCCAAATATTCTTCCTAAATATATTTAGAATTTATATATATATTTCTTCGTCGTTACTAGAGGCGCCAGCCGTCAAATGAAAGGAACCTAAAGTTGTTCAACTCTTGCTCCTTGTGTTTTCTTTTTTGTTTTGTTGTGAACATGTTTTTAATTTATTTATTCCATTGATTAAATCCCAAAAATGTATCTCTAAAGTAATTTCAAGTTCGATTTTTCGTTGAGGAATTTCGATTCGGACTTTGCCAATTATAGTAAGATCAATGAATGATCGAAACAACCTAATGTTAATCAGGGTCTAGAATAAAGCTGGGAAAATATCGATAGCTTCCCAGCTCTAGACTCTAGAATGGATTGAAAGGGTTTTAGTTATAATTTATCTTAATAAATTTTTAGTTGCTAAAGGAATTGGCTTTGCTTTTGCTGAATTTCTAATTAAAAACTCTTTAAAATTGCTCTCTGCAAGACCGATATTTTGTACCTTCTATTGTAATTCCGTTTTTGCATTTACCAAAATAAAGAGAAATCATAAATAACTTAATCTTGGCTTTTTTTGTAATTACATATATTTTTTATGGTTTTATTTTTCAACTAAGGGTGTGTAATCTGCCATACAAAATAATTTAAAGCTTCTCTTCTTCCCATAATTGGTCTGGAATAACATTTGCGCGTTGTTGAGCGTTTGAAAATTGAGAAATACAAAATGGTTTGTTTACATTTCGGTTATATAAATAAATTTAATGTTTGTGCATCGTTTCAACTGTTTGCAGGAGGTCTATGTCCTTGTGTAAGTGTGTTCCGTGTCGATTTTGTGTATTTGTTAAACAATTTCACATTTTAAAATTCGTACACTTTGTTCAGCTTAAACCCTATATAGATACTAGAACGTATGGCCTACTACACATATCAAATAGCTTACATCAAACTATTCTTTACCGCGGCTACTTGGCTATTGGTATCAAAACTTTACATTTTCCTCTATCCATTTCGTATGTTACAAAAATGCCGAAAAAATTATGTGTGAACATTTTGCTGTTTGTAGTTTGGACAATATAAATGAATGCTTTCGGATTCCTGATCCCGTTTAGGCCTCCGTTTCGGCGCCTTTGAGACGCAGGCGGGCAAAGTCCTCGAATATGATATCATCATCCTGCGCCTCATCATCGTCCAGCTGGATGAGATTGGTGGTGGTGGGCACATCCTGTGCCGCCTGTCCGCCAGCCGCCGATCCGGCCTCACCGCCATCACCCAGGCTAACCAGCGGCTGTCCACCGGCCAGACTGGCTCTCGGCGATCGCTCGCCCAGCAACGGATGCTCCTCCTCCTCGGGCTTCGGATGCATCAGCGTGAACGGCAGTTCGGCCACCAGGTCACCGTTCAGCAGCGGTGAGCTAATTAACAGCTTCACCTTCACCTTGTAGTGGACCATTATGCCGAGACTCTCGCGCTGGGCGGGATTCGTGATCAGTGTGCTGGACGCCAAATTGGTATCCTCATGCTTCAGCTGCCCGTCCAGGGCCAGGCCCCATTTATCCTTGTTGTTCGCCAGCAGGGGGCACAGCTCAAACACCTTTGACAGGGTGAAGCCCGGCGCCACCTGGCAACCGTCCTCCGAATCGATCTCCGCCACCACCGACTTGTACTGCGCCGTGGAGAAGAGACAGATGTCGGCAAACTGGCGCACGCACACCTTGATCTTCTTCACCGTTCGATTCGAATTGTTGGCCACATGGACATTGACCGATATCTTCTCGCCATGATGGTACAGCTCCTTGTCCAAGCTCGCCTCCAGATGAATCTTGTTTGGCTTCATCATGAACTCCTTGCTGACCTCAATCGATGGCTGCTCGCCGGCCTTGGAGGGGGCGTACATGACCTTGCGTATGGTGAGGCGCACCGAGTTCCTCTTGTGCGGCTTATCCTCCACGTGCTCGCCTAGCATGAGGGAAAGGGGATTAGTAATCGGATTCCAAGAAGTCTTAGCATACAGATTTTTTTAAGGGGGTGTGTCACTTCATCCCAGCTAAACATTATTAATCCAGTGCGTCACTGTTTAGAGACGAGACGAGACAAAATATGGTCCAGTGACTGAGTCACCGCAAACGATCGATTCGCATTCCACATTCCGCAAATGTCTTCAAACCCGGCAAAACAAAAAGATGTTTGGCAGGGCCAAAAATAGACGGCGGCTCAATGCCAAACGATTGGGTTGCCAATTAAACGAAATGCTTTCCATTCGGAAGATCATAAATCGTGCTACGTCAAGAGGGGGAGGCCCACAAACTAATTGTTTATGCCAAAAACATGGAAGCGAGGCACATTAAATAAACAAATCAGCAGACGCCAGAGTCAAGTAAATAAAAGCAACGGCTGAGAAATCTTTTCTGCGAATTTCTTACTGAATAGAAAATCCCACATATTGTTTGGATCTTTGAATTTCGACAGTCTACAGTGGATATTGGTTAGAGGAAACTAGGAAAGACTGAGTTTACAGGGGGAAAATATGTTTTGAAAACTGGTTTGGCTTACTGATCAATTCGTTTTTAGATTTTAGTTATCAATATTAAAAGAAAATCTTTGTAAAACCAAGTAAAAATCGATTTAGAGATCGACAAACTTCGAGGTTTTTCGGCAATATCGATAATCTAAAACAGAAATCGACTTTTTCGATCACTACTAAAAGAAAAATTTGTGTAAAACCAGGTAAACATCGATTAGGAGATCGATAAATATCAAGCTTTTTCGGCAATATCGATATTCTAAAAAAAATGTACGTTTTTCGGTCACTATTACAAAGAAAATTGATGTAAAACCAAGTAAATATCGATAAATGACGACGTTTTTTCGGCAATATCGATATTCTAAACAAAATTTGATATTTTACCATTTTCTATTTTATTTATTTTGATATATTGAGACCTATAGTTTTGTTGATGTGTCATATTTCTTACTAACATAAATAAATTCCCGAAAAATGCTTTTAGAATTCCCATTCTTACCAAATAATTTCAAACTTTCACTATTTTTATTTGCCATAAATATAATAATTATTCATGCCAACCTTTGCCTAAATGTTATCAAACAAAATCAGGTCAAATGTTATGTAAATCTCTTCTATATAAACACTGTGATTAGAGACAGCTAACAATATTAGCTGATAAAACAAACTAATTTATAGCCCACTAAAAAGAACCCCTGATAAGGATTTTATCCCTACAATTAGGAAATTACATGAATATTTAAGTCATGAAAATCATTTGCCTAATTTATAGGATTTTTATGATTGATTTACATCAACAATAACAATTAATTTTAATGGTGTCTTTGCCTTGGGATAATTTACTTTTTATTGTAGGTTCATTCATAGTAATTTATCGCCTTCGAGATATGCAACAAGTGTCGGCGGTTGAAGAGCCTTCACAAGATAAAAAACATTCCATTCATTCCCGTTCATTATTTACTGTATTATTATAAACAAGTGCAGCCGCAGTATCCCTTGGATATATACTATATATATATGTACGTGTAGCCCACCCAAAATGCCAATTGGCATCGCTGCTCTTTCATTATTAATCTCTTTATGGCCGCTCGCAAATTGGCCGACAGATAAGAACGGAATGCCATAAAACCACCAAAAAAAATTAACGAACAAAGCAAGGCAAACCAAATAGATAGTAATGTTTACAGAATGTACATATATATTATTGCGAGGGAATCGTAAAAATACGGAGGAGGAACCTCAACGATTGTTGAGGTGCGCGTGCGAAACGCAAATATGCGCGTGTAACTTAAATTTTCGCTGAACAGGCAGCATTCCCTCGGTTAATTTCTTACAAATTAATAATTATTATTATTAATTATTGCAAAATAAGGTGCGCAAAGCAAGACAAGCCGAAAATAGAAACCCCCAAAAGCTTTCCAGAATTGATTTCAGCATTCAGCGAGTTTGGATATGGATATGGAATTAAAAAAAAAAAACAAAACAAAACGTCAGCAAAGTCAACTGCGGCGCCTAATTAAAGCGAACAAAAACAACAAAAACAATGGGGTGGTACGGCCGAGTCGGATTCCAATTAGAAGCGTCGAATTCCAATTAGGTGGAACGCTGCGTCACCAAAGCCCAATGACATTTTTGCGCTGCGCAGCCCCCCTCCGACGTAGCTGGATTAATTAACCCCGCCAAGCCCGACCGCGTGACACATGCGCTAAATTACACAAAAACCACTCACACTCTGACAAATAACCCATTTACAGTCAAGCCTCCCACAGGTCAAACGTCAACAAGTTCAAACTGAGTTCAAGAAATTGTTAACCAACAAAGGCAATAACCTAAAAAAGGTAGTTAAACCTCATAATCTGATTTTGTGAGCAAAGTTTTTATGATAAAAATAGGTTTAGAACCTAATTTAAGTCTCTAAAAAACGAAAAACTGCAAATCTTTCCTCAAATTAACTTAAAAAGTTGATAATTAAGTATCTTAACTTAACAAATTCGATATCTAAGTAGACTAAACCCTCACTTGCTAAACTTTAAAGGCAGAGTTCACAATTAAAAGTCACATTTAAATGTTAAAAACAAAGGAAAACCTTCCACGAGGCTGCACTGTAAGTAGATATATACATATATGTATGTGCGGAATGTACAGATACTACGTCTTTATGTACATACATTGCACACGCCTGTATCGACGGCTGGCTGCACTGGCGGCACACGCTCATCAATGATTTTGACTTTGCCTGACCGCCCCGACATGGAAATGGACACCAAAAGCGATGGGACACACCCACCACCAGCACCAACAAGACGAACAATCCGTGGACGACTCACCCACAAAGGCCTTTAGCTCGTAGTCCACGCCGCAGGACTTGCCCACATCACCGGGGGCCGGCTGCAAGGAAACGGAGGCGGGGCAGTAGGGCGGCACCTCGAAGTAGAAGGGATGGGCATTGGGTCCCAGCTTTTTGATCAGCCGCTCCTGTAGCCGGGTCATTGGGCGCTCCAGCTGCATGGGCGGATAGATCTGCTCGTGAGCCAAATACAGATCCTTGCGGAATGTCAGGCCCAAGACATCGAGGTCCTCGCGTCCATAGCGAAAGGCGGCCAGAACCTGGCCAAACACCTTGCGGTCCTTGACATACTCCGGATCGATGAACACCACACCGTCGATGGGATCCACATGCGTGACATGATCGACAAAGTCACGCTTCCCCAGGTACACGGTGATCTTGCCGTTGGAGGAGCTCTTCTTGAAGACGCGCGTCGCCTGTCTTCGTGAGCTGGCATCGCCGCCAGCCTCGTCGCCGGCGGCATTCCCGGCAGCTGTCACATTTGTGCTGGAGCCATTGCTGCCAGGTGCTGCTGCTCCTCCGCCGTTTCCCCCACTTCCAGCACTGCCGACTCCGCCTCCTCCTCCTCCACCACCTCCGTTCGTGCTGGCGCTGAGTGTGTTCATTGGTGGTTGTGTGTGTGTGCTCCTGGAGCGTCCGTCTTCGCCGCCGCTATCCTTTCGCCGCTGCTCTGGTGCTTATCCGCTCGTCGCGACGTTTTATAAATATATGTGTGCGCTGCAATTTAATTTTTTATGTGTATACTTATTTCGGTAATTACCAACACTGAGCGAGAGGTTTTGCCACACTTGACACCATTAAAGGGAAAATACCAACAACAAATGTAAGACTGCCATGGATTTATGGTATTTTTAGCAACGGTCTTACTAAAATTGCAAGCCCAAGTCGCTTAGCCAAGTTTTTGACCTTTCTCGCAGTCCGGCAACAATATATAAACAATAATTCAATAAAACAATTATACAAGTTGAAAGCACACACCCAACACTTTATACAATCATTTAAAATACAAATGCATATTGTTTTTGTAATCAATACTTCAGGCCCTAACTTTCATTCGCTGATTTTCAGTGTTGGCAGTGATGAACTATCGAATAAGCTAGATTCTCTGAAAAAAAGCTAAACGATCAAAATAATAAAAAATAGGTCAATTTAAACAAAAAGTAAGTTATTAAATTTGTTAATTTGGTTATTAATAAACCTTATACTTAGTTTTGTAGTTAAAGAATTTGCATTTCCGAGAAATAGTTAGGTTGTTTCTAGTATTCTTACACTAAATCTGCCCAAGAAATTTACCTGAGTCCCTAATCCATAAATTCCCATATAACACGATGAATTTAATCTACTTGGAATTTTAAATAATCAATATTTAATATCAATACGCCAATTTCCCAATAAGAAACATTATATTAAATAAAATTTAGTAAATCATAACAAATTTGGTTACTTTTCTTATTACCTGAAATGCACGTTACCATCGATATAAAAAAGAAAAAGCTCCGATATATTTTGTCACTTTTCTTATAAAATATATCGTTGATCTCACAAATAAAATTATTGCTAAAATATGCTAGATGAATATCCGGGAATATATTGACTGATTGTCTAAATTACTAAAAATATCGGCTTTTTATTGCTAAATTAAAGGTGGATTAGCTTAAAATAATTAATGGTTTTTAGGATAAAACCAAATGCATATAAATAATTATCTTGAGACTGAAATTTTGTTTTTAAGATCCGGCTAAAAATATCGGTTAAGTATCGCGATACATCGCTTATGTTCTTCCACCTCTAATCTCTATCGCACGTGGTTTTTGAGTTTTCAATAAACGAAACACGCGGCGGCGACATTTTTGCGTTAAATCCACTTGATTCTGATCTGTTCAATTAGTAAAAGCACAGAAACGCAATAAATAAAATGGCCCAAAAGAAAGCAGTAGCCGCCAAGGGAAAGAACGGAGTGGAGAAGCCGGCCAAGCGCGGCGCCAAGGCCGTAAAGCCGCAAGAAGAGGAGGAGGAGCTGGTGGCCCAATCGCCGCCAAAGAAGGGCAAGAAGTTGCCGGCAAAGGAGGTTCCACAGTCCAGCGAAGAGGAGTCCGATGATGAGGAGCAGAATGGTGGCGAAGAGGAGGATGAGGAGGAGGAGGACAGCGACTCCCAGGTATGTTCAACAAAAACGTGCTAACCCGCTGTAGGGGCGCTCCGGTGGCCCTATGAAGCTGTTGCCATGTGCCATGTGTTTTTGCGGAGCTGCCAAGTTACATATGTAGCCTGTACTCTTGCTTTACTTTACATTAATTAAATATAATTAATTGGCATTTGTTATAGAAAGTTTGTGTTTTAAATCAAGAATAATATGCATCTAAGTTTTAAAAAGTGTATCTCTAAAGATAATATTAAACAATTTGTTTCAGGCTGAAGATGTAGGAGACTTGATTGATGACGAGGCTGAGGAGGACGATGATGACGATAGTAGTGAAGGTGATGAGGATGAGCTGGAGCCTGGCCAGGCTTCCTTTGGCAGCCTTCAAGCCGCTGAAGATGATGACGAAGATTCCGAAGACGAGGCCCCCGTGGAAGAGCCCGTTGGCAAGAAGGCCAAGAAAACCGAACAGGCCAATGGCCAGGAGTCGGAAGCCAAGAAGGGTGGTATTCCCAAAGTACGCGTGGGCAGGATTCCTCCCGAAACTCCCAAGGATAGGCTCATCTTTGGCAGTAACTTGCCCAAAGGTAAAGAGACTAATATTATATTATTTATATATATTTTTATATTATATTATTATGTAATTTCTTGATCCGCAGAATACAAGCACAAGGATCTGGTTGCCTTGTTCACCAAATTCGGACCGATCTCAATTGTGAACCGCGTCACAAACAAGAGCGGTGAGAACACAGTGATTGTTGCCTTCGAAACTGCTGCCGGTGCCGAGGCTGCTCTGGCGGCCAAAGAAAAGTCTCTGAACTTGGGCGGCAAAGTGGTGGCTTTAAGCCGTCTGCGCGATAGGGATGAAAGCAACAAGCTGACCGTGGTGGTGAGCCTCTTGGGACCCCATGTCACCGAGGATGAGATCAAGGCCCACTTTGAGAAGATCGGTCCCGTGGAGGCCGTTTCCAGATCGGCCAACAGGGCCAACCCGACGGCCTTTGTCCGCTACTCGAACGTTAGCGATGCCGAAAAAGCCCTCAAGCTGCACAGCACCGAGTTCTTTTCGCGTTTCATCACCGTGCGTCCTATGCTGCACAAATCGCAGTCGGTCAAGACCCCGGAGACCACCTTGATTCTCGAGAATGTGGGCAAACACGAGTCCTACAATTCCAATGCCGTTGAAAAAATCTTCAAGAAGTTCGATGTGCACTTTACCGATGTGGTGTGCAGCAAGATGGTGCTGGCCTTCATCACCTTTAAACAGCCGGAGGGAGCCACAAATGCCTTGGCCCAGCTCAATGGCAAGACAGTAAACGACTTGGAGCTGAAACTGACGCGCTACCAGCGCAATAGCTCGGGACGTGCCATTCTGGTGTCGAATCTGACCAACAGTGAGTTGAATAAAACAGAGATCAAAGTCAAGAATCTAATTATTTCACTTTAATCATTTCTTTAGATACCACCGAAGAGCAGCTGCGGGAAGTGTTTGGCCAAAACGGTGACATCGAAAGTGTCCAGATGTTGACCAACAAGGCCGTGATCAAGTTCACCAGCGACGATGCCTTCTGCAAGTCTTTCCTGTTGAACGAGCACTTGCTTAACAACAACCCTCTGTTCCTAGAGCCCAACTCGCTGCTGAAGCACAAAATATACCGCCAGAAACATCTGCGTGCTCAGGGTGGACCCGGTGCCCCTGGCAAGTTCCCTGGCAAATTCCAAAGGTTCGGAAACAACAAGAACTTTGGCAACAAGCGTCCTTATCAGGAGAACGGCGCCAAGCCTTTTGTGAAGCGACCCAAGTTCTAGAACCTGACAGCATCTGAAGTTGGTTTAGTCATAAGTGTATCCATAATCACGGCCACAAGATCCCCCCCTTAATCAAATGCTACGTGATACAGTGGATTTAGACTGTAAGAGCTTCCCCGCCCCGCCACAACAACAAAAAGTTGTATGGAAATATTAATAGTAGCCGTACCTTTTAAACCGTTTTTATAAACAGGAAACAAATTAAAATGAGAACACAAAAAAACCATTTGATTTTGGAAACTTACTTACCTGTGGCATTCCAATAGGAAAGGAATATAAAATTTGTTCTGAAATATCATGTTTTAATCCCTGGCCGATATCAACAGCTTGAGCTGATTAAGAACCATCGATAGATGTAAACAAAAGTGTGTTGGCCATACTTTTGGGGAGGCAACAAATTGTAAATTACCGGCACGTACCGGCTGGTAAGTAAGTGAATTAGACATATACGCCGCCGCGCCACGCCGCCGCCGCCGCCGATTTTTGCCTTATTTGACGCGCCGCCGCCAAATTATGAAAATAACGGCGCGCCGCGGCGCGCCGCTGGTGCGGCATCGGCGCAGCTTCAGCGCGGCCTTCAGTGTCATTGTTCTTTATAAAACTTAAAAAAAAATAAATAACTCATTAAAATGGCCTTTTTGCCTTATTTGACGCGCCGCCGCCGCCGGTTCTTTCTGACTACTACGCCGCCGCCGCCGAGTCATTTTGACCTCTACGCCGCCGCCGACGCCTTTAACCATCGGCGTAAACCTCTAAAGTGAATAGGGTTATAAGTGTTTTTCTGTGTGTGTATGAGTGTGTTGTTTTGTGGGGGCCCGGGCAGCTCCCTCTTACCCGCCGACAAGTGATTCATTACACTTTGCACACGATGTCGCCGGTCGAGTGATTCATGCAAGGCAGAAAGAGAGAGAGCCAGCAACGACGACGTCGCACTCCACACGCAAACATTTCATTTCTCCAGCATGGCGCTCCCATTGCACCCCATCCTCGCTAGCCACAACGCGCCTTTGTTCCATACCATCTTGGCCATAATGCAAATGAGCAGAGGCGGCCCAATGATGATGATGTTGAGGAGGGGCACACTGCACTGTTGAAGTGAGGGCTTGGTTAGGTCACTGGCCATAATGAGCCCAATTCATAACGCCCTTAGAGGGTTGTCTTTGGCCATGGCTTTAATGGCGCTGCTCAAAGGAGCTGCTCAAGACCGGACGATGACTAATTAAAGTTTGCAGTGTGGGAGGAAAGGGTGTCTAAAGTAATAGATACTTTGAGGTGATCAATATCGTAACAGCAGCCTGGAATTATATCAGTTTCTTGAAGGGTTTTCCAGCCGTAAAATTTGGAAATCTAAGATTATAATAAAATATAAAATAAATCCATATTTGACAGGTAACAAAAAAAAGTACATTAATTTTAAACAAGAAAGAAAGCTAACTTTGGCCAGCCAAAGTTTGTATACCCTTGCAGGTAACAATTAAAATATATCATAACTAAGCCAAAAATGCATTAATTTCGATTCGGAAAGCAGTTTTGTGTCAGTTTTTTTAATTTAAAAAAATTGCATACCAAATTTAAAATTTTAGGAAATCAAAATTTTTGGCCATTTTTGCTAATTTTAATGATGTAACCCCTTATGAAATTTCGCAAAAATGGCCAAAAAATCTATTTCTTCCGGACATGTCTAGAAAGATTCCCCTCTTGATGCTGATCAAGAATATATCTGGTTTATGGGGTCGGAAATGATTCCTTGACTTAGAAAATTATTATTTTGTATTATAAAATCTGATTTTTTATATTAAAAACATCTTGATTTTTAAAATTAAAAATATCATAACTTGGCCAAAAGAGCATTAATTTTAAATCGGAAAACTGTTCTGTGCAAGATTTTCTACAGTTAATAAATCTGCATACTTCATTTAAAAATTTTGAAAATTCAATTTTTTATCAAAATCAAAAATTTTAATGATGTAACCCCTTATAAAATTTTGCAAAAATGCCAAAAAAATTGATTTCTTCCTGACATATATAGAAAGATTCCCCTGTTGATGCTGATCAAGAATATATGTATATACTTTATAGGCTCGGAAACGTCTCCTTCACTGCGTTGCAAACTTCTGACTGAAATTATAATACCCTGCAAGGGTATAAAAATTTAACATATATTGTTTGATTTGAATCTATAGGAGTTTTTTTTTTTTAAGAATTTTACAATTTATTATTTCTATTTCTATTAGTTCAAAAAATCTGTATACTGCACTTAATATTAAAAAAAAAATTAAGTTTTACCGATTTTTGACAATTTTAATCCCTTATAAAATAAAAAAAATATATATATTGAATTTTGATGCTGATCCAGAATAGATTTATGGGTTTGGAAATGACTGCTTGACAGACAAAAATTATAATAAACTTCAAAAAGAATGGAAATATTTGAATTTTTTAACTTAATATTTATCCCTGTTTCTAAATAATTTTGTCTAAAAATCAAAGTTTAAAAATATCATAACTAAGCCAAAAAAGCATTAAATTTAAATATTTCTTGCCAAGCATGTCTAGAACAACTCGTCTTTTGATGTCGATCAGGAATATAAATGACTTCTAGGGTTGGAAATCCCTCCCTTTACTATCAAAACAAACTTCTAACCGATATTAGAATAGCCTCCAAGGCTACAAAATTTGTTTCCCCCAATTCCTTAAAAGTTGTTAAAAAGTCAAGTGTATGTTTAGTTTTGTATATTTAACATTTATTAGTAATAAATTTTCTTGTAATATCTGTTAATTTCAGTTTTTGTTGTTATTTTGTTTGTTGTCACTACACGCTCACAAATATGTTTTTGTTGTCTGATATATGTATTTATGGTATAGATAGTTGTATATAGGTTTATTTTATATGTAATTGTTTTTTTATTTCTTTTTTTTTTGTATATTTCTTGTATATGTAATACGATAAATTATAGTATTAGTTATTCGTTTGTTTGCATCATTTAGGTAAGTACGAGTACTTTCTGCATTCACTGTCAGTAATTGTTAATTTTCAAAAGAGCTTTTCCATGCAATTAAAGTGTAAAGTGTAAATATATATAAAAAAGAAACGTTCCTTTGACTAAATGCAACGGAAAGTAAGTTCAGCCAGCCAACCGGAGAGGAGTCCCGGACTCCGGATTGGGTTCAAATCGGTCCACAGACCCCACGGGCAGTATCGGTCGGTTATGAATCACTAAATCAGTCTGTCTGTGAACTTGACGATAATGGTCGGGACCGGGGTCGGGTTGGAGCTATGTATATATTTTGTTTTTTTGCCCATTCAAGCCAAACTAATTGCGGCCGTGAAGGTTTCATATTTTATGGATTTCGTTGGCTGCGTCTAAGTCTCTCTATTCTCATGTGGCTTTCGACTTAACTTTTCAATAGATGTAAATGTAATTATCGTAATTTAGCTTAAGCTTTAGTTAGTTGTTAGCAAATCACTACTAATAATAAGGCAAATGAAAGTGAAGGGCACTGGGGCGGGATTTTGGGAGAAACCATAATCAACTACGAGTAACTAACTCTCTCCCTAAACTAGACAACTAGAGCTCGCTGGAGTACTATTTTATCTCTTGTATATTTGATTTATATAATATATAATATATATTGTATGTAGGCAAACTTTCAACTCTAGCAACTTAATCACTAACAAAATTCTCCTTTCCGGGTTTTACTTTCACAAAAGCAGGCAAAATTGGTTTCTCTCAGTATCAATAAATTCGAGCCGTTGACGCTTTGGTATCTCTCATCTCATCTCATGTATATCGTCTCTGAATAAGGATATAAAAACATAAAAATAGAACTAAAATAAATGTAAAACTGAAAAATTTAAATAAATAAAAAAGATTGTTCGTTTTGTTTTTAAGTATTTTTTTTGTTGTTCGTTTTTGTTTAATTTTTAATTGGTAATATCGTTTTAAACATACAATATGTATATAGAGAAAGAGGGTGTGGTGTGTATAGAGTGGGTGCTGGAGTTACATTAAATGTTCTGCTTATTGATGATGTTGATGTTCTCTTCTTCGTGTGGCATAATTAACAAATTAAAAAATAATAATACATTGGACCAATGGGTCACAAAACATAGGAGCAAAAAACGGATATAAAAGAAGCCTTTAAAACAGAAAACATTCAGAGATTTTTGTTTTTCTTTGTTTTTTTTATGAAATTATAATAATACACTGGGGTAAGAGTTTTCATTTTTGTTTATAACCAATAAGTAAGAATGTCTCGAGTGCTACAACATGTTTTTGTTTTCAATTCTTGGGTGTTGTTTTTAAGTAAAACTTGGAGGAACGTATACAACATGTAGAATCCAAGGGTGCGCTGGGAAGTACAGAGTGAAAACACATCAATTCTTCTTTGATCAGTATTTAAGGTTCTTATTAATTCTTTTTTTTTTATATATATTTTTTTTTACTGGTTAGCAGTCTACATTTTTTTCAGCTGCGCAAATTACATACGTTGCCTTTTTGTTGGATTAGTTTTGATTCTTTTTTTGTTTTTTGTTTTGTTTAGTTGTCGTTTATTTACGTTTTAGGACGCCGACTATAATAGCTACAGTTAAACTTGGATTATCATTCTCAATTTTTTTTTTTTTCTTCTGGTTCTTCTTCCACCTTTTCTCGGTTCTTTTTCTTTTTGGAATTTATTCCATTAATGGGTTTTCTTTAAAAGTATGCATAATGACAATTGTTTTTCTCGACGCGGTTCGTTGACACAGTACAAAGATACGAAAATTTTAGCACAACATGAGCAAAAAAATAACAGAGCGTGGTGGAGGAACAATTACTAAAAATATAAAAAATTCTTAAATAAATGAGCGAGAAAAAACAGAGCACACGCTGTCGCAATTATTTCTTCAATCGTAGCACAAAAGTTACCTTCGCTCTACTTTATCAACATACATTAATATATAATATATAAATATATTTAGCAAGAAATGTCGAAGATGTCATCGATCTCACAAGTTAACTTGAATGAAGAGCAATTCACAATTTAGTTTCCGAGTCGCCTCTGCCGGTTGCATCCTCTTCAGTTCTACTTTTCTGTTCGTTTGTTTCGTTTTTTTTTTTGTTTTGTTTCAATTTCCCTTTCGGCTGTCGCGCTAAATACTTTTGCTTAATATGTTTTATAATATTAGTAAAGTAGTTTCAGCTCTGGTTTACTTCTGGAATCTCGCTGGGCTCCTCTAGAAATCCAGCAGGGACACTTCGGCAGCGCCAGCGGCCTGCGGCTGCTCTTGGATTTCCTGGGCCTCCTCCACTTCGTGCAGACCGTTGCCGTTCTGCTTGATAACTTCCTCCTCCTTGGTTGCTCCATTGGTGGCTGCAACGGGCTCGGCCGGCGGTGCAGCAGCAGCAGCAGCAGCAACTGGTGCCTTGATGGGAGTGGGTGTGGATCCCTTTAGCGGTGTCGACTTGCGCGCCTTCAGTCCAGCCGGCGATGGTTTGGCAGCGGTGGCGCTTTCTTTGGCTTTCGGTGTCAGCGGCTTGGTGGTGGCAGTTTTCAGGGGCGATGCCTTCAGAGGCGATGCCTTCCTCGCCGTGGTTGCTGTCAAGCTGGAGCTGGTGGTGGTTCCCAGTGGTCGTCGAGCGGTCGAGCTTCCATTGGTGGCCGTCGAATGGTTGAACTTGGGAGCCGGGCGTGCCGTAAAAGTCTTTGTGATCGTTGTAGTTGTGGTGGTGGTCGTTGTGGAGCTGCTGGTCTTAGTGCCCAATCCGTTGGTGGTCGGCTTGGTGGGGCTGCGAGCCGAAAGCGAAGTTCCGTTTGTGCTGGCCACCTTGCGCACGGTTGTGGAGGTGCTGGCGGCGCGTGGTGAGGGAACCTTTGGCTTGGCCGTGGCTGTCGCTGTTGTCGAGGCAGCCGCCAAGCGTGGCTTGGGTGCGGCAGCCGACGAGCTGAGAGTCGATCTGGTGCTGGTTGGTGCACTTGTGGCCGGCTTCCGGGCAGCTGCTGTTCCGGTGGCTGTTCCCGTTCCGGTTCCATTTGTGGCCGGCTTGCGAGCCGTGGTGCTGGAGGCTGGGCGTGGAGCAGCAGCCGTTGTCCTGGCAGCACTTGCCGTCGGCCTGGTGGCTGTGGTCTTGGCTGCCGCACCTGCCGGCTTGCTCACCGGAGCCGTGGCCGGTCGTGTCGATGTGCTGCTCAAGGCTGTCCTGGGTGCCGATGGTTTAGCTGCGGTTCCGGCACTGCTACTCAATGGCTTCCGGTTGGCTGCAGTTGGTGGAGCCGACGTCGCTGGTTTGGCGGTGGCAACGGGAGCGGTACGAGGACGAGCGGTAGCCGTCTTGGAGGTCGTAGTCGAACTGGTTGTGGTCTTCTTGATCGTGGAGGAGGCTGCTGTACCTGCTGGCTTGGGCTTGCTGGCCGCGGCTCCTGCCTTGGTCGCTGGCTTCTTGGCCTCTGGGGGACTGGGCTTGGTGTCCTTAGATTTGGTGGCAGCAGCCACAGCGGCAACGGTCACAGCAGCAGCTGCAGCGGCAGTGGCAACAGCAGCAACTTCGGCCACAGGCTCGGCCTGCACTTCATACTTTTCGCTTTCAGGAAGATCGTCGGTAGTTGGAAGCACAGCTTCTTCGGTCTGGGAAAGCACAGGCTCCTCTGCAGCAGTAGCAGCCGCAACAGCAGCGGCAGCAGCAGTGGTCTGTTCCACAAACTCTTTAGCAACGGGCAGCAAATCCTCCTGTGGATCCTGAGCCACAAAGTCTCCAATGGGTGGTAAAACTTGCTCTTCGGGAGCGGAAAACTGCTGCTCCTGAGGGATAACAAAGTTTTGCTCCTGTGGCTGATCCTCTGTGGCCTGAGCCTGCACCTTGTCGCCCAAATTAAAGTACTCGGATTCAAAATCTGGCTTGGCCCTGTACTGCTCCTCCTCCACGAGCTCCTCCTGCAACTGAAGTTCATTGAAGCCATTGGCAGCTGCCTGTGTTTCCGGTTCGAAATGAGCGGCTATTGGCTCCTCCAACTCCACAGCCGCCGCCGCTGCCAAGTTTAGGGCGGGCGTGAAGGGTTGGGCAAATGGATTAATGCCCTGTTCCACGACTGGCACAGTATCTTCATCGTGTTGAGCTTCATAGCCGGGAGCTGCATTAAAGGCAGCGTACTCCTCCAACTGTAAGAGAAAGAAAAGGAAATGTGTGAGTAGGTGGAAAAGATAATTTGGCTTTACTATAAGTTATAAGCTATAAATACTTTTTTTTTCATAAGAGCCAACACCCAAAAGCGTGATTCAAGTGTACAACATCATCATCATCACCAAACCAACAATGACAAACAAAACAACACTTGGCCTGTGTCTGAGTCTGACCCCTCCCGGTTTTTAGCATTCACTTTGCACCCCTCAAAAAAACAACTTCTCGCTTCTGTTAAATCGATAAATGCAATGAGCCATCCCATTGAAGACATCTTTCTCCTCTTCCTTGTGTGTCTTCGAAAGCAAAAATAAAAACACACAAAATGTGGCACTGCCGTTAGCACTCTGTGCGTCAGGGCAAATGTTACTTATGGCATTATTGCGTCCATGTCTCGTAAAAATATCTGGCAGATGCAGCTACAAAGTATTTTCAGGCCTTTGGGTGAGAGGCCAACGAAAATAAATCAGACTCCGCAAATACACACCACACCACGGACAAATTTCCAGCTAAATAAATATGGGGAGCTACAGTGAATGAATATCAAAAGATTGCCTCATTATGAGTAAGAGGGATTATGAAGGAATTATCCAAGAAATTATTATATTACACAAAATCGGGGCATTAATAAGGCCATATAAATATGGTTCTTGGAAACTAAAAAGAACTTTAAAGATGAAGTCTTATTGAAATATCAAGTAAAAGCTTCTTAGACTAGCATAAAAGCAAAGAAAGTTAAGTTTACAGAGTTTAGAAAGAGTTTTTCAGTACTTAAAATACTTTTATAACTTTAAAAACTACATATAACTTTTTAAAGACAAGAAATATCTCTTGTACGTCTTTCCTCTCAGTAAATAAATCTAAAAATTCTAAGAAACTGTAACTTATATGTATCTGCAAATCCCAATACCAAAACGATTTCTTCTACAACTTGCCAAAGCAGTTCACATGTATTTTTTCCAATCAATTGTCAAGAAAAAGAGCATCCCTCAACCCTTGGATTGTGGATCTGGAAAATTCGGGGAAAAACTAAGGGGAGTGTCTGCCTGCCATCCTCCGCCTGCTCTCAACTCTGGCGATTACTCGTCTCAGATGTCGTCTGCGCATCGCATTCCCGGGGGTTGACACGCCACGGACACACTCATTACCAATGCATACAAATTATTATAATGACATCAGCAGCGACAGCAGAACTTGTGAAAGTGAGAAAGCGGCTGGCTGGCAGGCAGGCAGGCAGGCAGAAGTGCGGCAACATGACATTCTTGCCAACAAACAAAAACAGCACACTAAAGCAGGGAGCCGCCAACCAACAACCAACAACGATGACATGGCCAGGCCAACAAATGGAACAGAAAAAAAAAAAACGGAAGGGAAATCATAGTTCAGTCTGGGTTTATGGCCACAGGCATGCTCTATAAGTAAAGTTTAAAGTATTTTATAATAATCTAGTTGCCTTGAATACTTTCTATTTATATCCCTATTTAAATATAATAAATGTTTAGTAATATTATAAATTAATCACTTGCTTTGTACTGTTTTTATTATTTATTCAAGTCCCAACTACTTTTATAAATACCAATAACATTTACTATTTAAAAGAGTGTATCTATCACCTCTACATTTTCCATGCACCTGCCTTTTTATCGTGCTAAATCTTGAAAATTGTGAGAACTATCTGTAGCAGGGTCCGGATCGAGATCAAAATAACTACAATCTACCTTCGAACGTTGATACAAGTGCTTATAAAGTAAAAAAAAAAAAATACGAAAGACGCGCCACAAAGGTGGAAATGGGCAAATGGAGAAAGAAGCGGGTCGGCAGGAAACGTGTCAGTGACTTAGTGGTGTGACTCGGCGTTACTTTTGGACTCTGCCACCGCAGGTGTCGGGGATTGAACTGCGGATTGGGGATTGGGGACTGGGAGGAGGACAAACGGCTGGGCGGAAAATGTAGCGTTAACATTTTTTCCGGCACTTTTCCTCTATCACGCAAAGACCGCACAGCACAAAAGCATTGCGCTCTGAAACTCTAAAATGTCATTGACCAGTAAATGCCACCAGCCGGGGCCATTTGCCATCAGTCGGTGGCCGTTCCCCCGAGTTCCCTGAGTTTCCAAGTTTCCCAGTGCCCAGCCGTTCGCAGCTCCACTACACTTCACTCTGTGCTCTACAGTTGGCCCTCGGATTTCCCAATTCCTTGTTGCCCGCCAGTTGCTAGGTTGCCCACTTTTAGCCCACTCGCGCAATGGCTATCCGGCTGACTTTCTTTTGCTGCACTTGGCGAAAATAATATAGTTCTTATATTGATCTATTTACGGTATCAAGTTACCAAAGCTTAAATAGGATAAAAAGAAATTCTTCAAGTTTTATGGTTAAGAACTAAAGGTTTTTTTAAATAAGAGTTTGATAATTCTTTAAAATGTAAGTAAAAAGCAGTTGAGAATTATAACAAAATGCAAGTCCTGTGTCCTTATAATTCCCAACTTCTCTTTTAAACCAAATGCCAGAAAATGTATCTCAAAAAAATGTATCTTTCATTGTTATAAGAAATTCTTAACCTCCTTAAAAAATGTCTTTATTAATAACCAAGTAAACATTTTAATAGGCTTTAGCTTTCTTTATTTCCTGAGTGTATTACTCTGTTTTGGCCTCCACTGCGGACTCTCGGCTTGGACTGTTGCTCAAGCGTAATGGGGTTAAAAGTGAGCTGAAGCGAATAAGAAAAAAAAGACAAAAAAAAAAAAAACTCGGCTTAGTCAGAGGAGAGCTTTGCTGGCTTAGTTAGAGTTTGTTTTAGTTACTGACCATGAGTCATCGTCGCCATCATCATCATCATTATGATCATCAGTCGATGCGGTAGTGCAAAATTTGCCAATCAATCATGGCCAAAAATGAGGTAATACGTGTTTTAAAATAGCGCACCAGCTTCCCTTTGACTTCTCCCCTCCTTTCTGTGCAATTTAGTAGCAGCGATAATTGCGTGGAATTTTATCAGTTCCAGGCGCAAGTTGGTGGCAAAAAGCTTTGGCCTAAAGTGCCGGCCGGTGAGTTAATTGATTGTTTAGCTTTTTGCCGGTTTTTTTACCCCCTTTAAAGTGAACATACTTGTCAAATATAAATAGTAGAGCTATTACTCATGCATACAGCTTGGGTTAAACTTTTAGAAACATATATTTGAAAGGGAATATAGTTCTTAGAGTATTTTTAATATGGTTTATGGTTCATTTAATGAAAAAAGTCACTTTTTTAAATATCAATATTCCTTACAAACCTTTTAAGGAATAGAAACAAGATTTTTAGAGCTTAAATGTAGCTTATTTCTATCAAAAACATCCCTAAACAATATTCACAAAAGAAACCAAGTCTCTAGAAAATTTTAACAAAAATAAACCCCAAGTAAAAGCAATCGGATTATGAATGAGATTTCACTGTAGGTTTCTCGAAATTTAAGTGTTCGCTTCTCGCGCTTTATTTACAAATCATTTTGGCACTCGCAGAAACCGGCAGGAAAAAATAACAACAACAACATTTGATTTGTTCAACAAATTGTGGGTGTTTGTATTGGTCAGAGAGACTCTGACTGACTGTGTTTGTGCCGAAAACCAAAAAGGAGAAAAAAAAAAAATGGCAACGATGACATCAACAATTTCTAGTTGGCGACCACCACAAGTCATGCCAAAATTTTTGTTTGCTTTTTTTTTCTTTCTCTCGTTTGATAATTGCGAAAAGTGCGCAGCAAATGAAGAAATTGCACGAAAGTTGAGAGAGAATCGGCGGTGAGAGTGAGAATTATTATTAGGGGAATAAGTCAGGTAAACCGAGCCAAATGAGAGCAGGTTTTTATTGTTGAAACAAACGAAGGAACACAGCCGTGAATTTAACGCAAATATCAAGTTCAACAGATGGCGCACATTTGCATGGGAAACATCGGATGACGAGGCGGTGTATGCGGTGCCTATAAATTCAAATAAAATTTAAATCACACAGAACGAAGCAACCAAGGCAATTTATAAGAGTCGCAGATTTTAGGGGCAACTACAGTGTATACCTTAGTATGGAAACTTATTGAAGCTTAAGATCGGGAATAGTCTAAATTTTGAAAATGTAAAATAAGAGTTTGCTTTGAATAGAAAAGAAAACAATCATTAAATCAATAAATCATATTTCTATATTAACAGATGTGTGTATTTATATTTGCCGGCTGACTCCTATCTCTTCCACGCTTCCTCTTTCTAACTTGCCCTGCAATGTACCAGCAATCCTATTATAAGAGATTTCGCAAGGGAAAAAAAAAACCGTTCTGCTTGGTTTTAGTTTCTAATTTTTGGTAGAAGCAAAATCGAAACAATTTATGACTTCAGCCTAAATTACGACCTCAGGTTGTTTCATCAAAGTCCCAATTATGATTCACTTTAGGCAGTTTGGACTGTCTGACAAATCACTTGGTATTTGACTCACTGTCTCCGCTCTTTTTCTTTTCGACATTCGATGTTTGACATGTCTCTTGATGGCTCGTTAGAAACCCAAAAGGGGAACGAGTGAGTCGGTACAGTGGCCATTGGTTCGAAGGTACATACATACATATGTACAAGTACATAGAGAGATCCAGAGTTTCGGGGAGAAGGTAAACTGACTTGGTGGTGGCCATTAGGCCTCTGGACAAAAATGGAATGCAATTGACAATCGTCGACTGTTTTTGGCCAAAGGCACGCACACAACTATGCAAAAAGTGATTATAATAATGGCACATAACAATCAAATAGCTAAATGTTCCATTATGCGTAAAGCTAACGATGGGTGGGGAACAGTCTCGGCTTTTTAAATAAGTCTGATGATCCAAGCGGACGATGATGATGATGATACGGACAGCACTGCAAAGAATAGATTATAGAAGAACTGGACAACTAAAGAAATTCAAGACATTTTTTTCAGAAATTTTCTATAAACAAAATTCTTCAGTTTCTTATTCCTAGAATATTTCG